CCCGGAGAAATGTATGTATAAAAACATTCCCTGTTGGCTAACTGACAACCTCAATGTTACCAAAATACTTTGCAATTTCGGTTTGCTTGTTTTGTCGCGATTGTGAATATAGCAAAGCTTCGCTTCAAGCCATACATAACTTTCTCATTTTTTAACAGGGAAAAATACATTCAAGCCCGATATACACGATTTTAGCCCGTTTAAAGCTGTACGTACTACCATTCCGTGAATTGTTCTCATTTCGATATTATCCAAAAGACTGCGTCTTTTTATTCTCCTGTTTTATGCTTTCAAAATAAATATGTTCGTATTCGCAAATGTGTACAAGTGCTTTTTTTTTTTTTTTTTTTTTTGTAAGTGTCAAGCAACTGTCAACAATAAGTTTTCGCCAAGCAGGTAAAAGAAGTCATAAAGAAGAGCTAGGAAAGTAAGTATTCTTTGAAATCATATTTTGAATGGAATTAATGGTGATAACCATGTTAGAGATAGCAAATGTATGCTAAAAACGGTAAATCTAGTAAAGTAAAGTAGTAACGAAATAAAAACAGCGAATATTGTAGCTGATGTGACAAACAAGTGCAAGGAAAGTAATCTATTATATTAAAAATTATACATATTATACAGTGTGTCTATATCATTGCACTAATATTATTTGAAAATAAATTTTTCGATGATAAGTAAACGAGTACAGTCGTTTAAGACCGAACTTGCGCTTTCTCATCTACATTTGCTACGGCCGAAGCGGCTTTGATACAAGAAACTTCTTTTGCGTCATTAGAAAATGATTATAAAAACTCATAACAAAAATTGTTTCAAGCGTTATGGTTTTTGGAAATGGTTGAATTGCTTTTGACGAACTGTTGTCCGGTTGTGATACCCGTTGAATATCAAAAGTACGCTTCTTTTGTGTTTATTGGGACGATTTCTTTATTCGCTTCGTTATCCTCTTCATCTTTGTTCCCAAGGTTTTGCTCTAAACGAGTTTTTAAATTTTGTATTGCATTATGATGGCGCTTGAGCACGTTCTCTAATTCATTTACTTTATTTTCCAAAGCCATCTTCGCGTGGAAACTCTGTAAAACATACAAAATCTGGTCAACTATCTGTAACTATGAAACAGATCGGGACCGCACCATAACTATCTAACCAGAAAAAAAAATTAACTGCGCATGAACATTAGATGCTGCGCTGATTCTTTTGTGTGACATTCGTTACACATATGGGATGACACCCGTTCAACTATGTTTACATATATTTTGTCGTATTTGTGACTGCATTTGAATATATTATGCTCCTTAATCTCCCACGTTAAGGTATGTTTTAGTAAAATGTCATATGCATGTATATATAAATATATATATATATATAGATATGGATATGTATATATCTTACCAGCAGCATCAAAGATAGGCGTAATGTACATCTAATATTTTGAAAAAACAAAGCAAAGGTGAATATTGTGAAAGTGGGAAAATTTATTTAAAAGCTTACGACAAAAGTCAATTACAACATCTAGGAGGCACTTTCATTTAAGACTTAAACGACACATCTAACAATAAATTATTAACCTATAATATTACACTACGTTCAATAACTTTACTCTATTTTATTTTTACAATACATTTAAATTTAAAGGAAGTCAGCAGGGAAAGCTTGCTACATCTTCTGCGTAAACTACTAACTTTTACTTTAATTTAGGTTATGGATTATTTGCATGCCATTTTTTTTTGATTTTAAGAGTTCTTAAAAAAACGTCACGAAAGCGACCTCATGGTCTAAAGGAAGATAATCCCTCATGGGCCACTGTTGCCATGAAAGCAATATGTTATTTGCGTTGATGCATTGTTCGGCCCGTGTGTTTTTTTTTTTAATATGACTAATCACTCCTATTCGTGTAATAGAGTGATGGTCAGAAGTAAGTCAAGGAAGAGCCAATTGCTCAATGTTTCTCTATTCAGTTCATTCATTCAATACCTGCTTACAATGTAGCATGAATTTTAAATATTATACTTATAATCTAAGCCCAAAAAATGCACTTTGATTAAGACGCAATGGCAGCTGTCAATCCTAGACGACCTGCAGTATAGTAATCAATATTCTTTTAAAATAAGGTTAGTTACCGTCAGAAGACAGACTTTTGGCTGTTCGTATATAACACCGAAAAACTAGTCAGACAATCTTTTATATATATATTATATATTACATCTAATAAGTATGTATATATACATACGTACATTAAATGGATATATAAGTATAAGATTTTGAATCGATTTACCGATTTTTGTCTACTCGTTTTTCTGTGGACTTTTCATCGGAGACATTGGAACCGCTTAAAGCAGAAACCTAAAACTTGTCGTTTGCATTCTTAGTTAATAGCCACACATCGGACTTGTATTTTTATAGATAATTCATAAATAATTGTTCCAAGTTAGCATATTTAATCAGAAATGCAAAAAGCATTCCTATCATGCTTTGCTGAAATTTCCATAGCCTTAGCAATTGTAAGTACTAATTGCTCGTAAGTAATTATCTTAAAAGTGTAATGCTTACATAAATATTTGTATATTAAAATATTAAATAACTTTATTTGACCACAATAAATGCATTTATCTTAATATTACCATAAATTTTATTATATTAGCAAAGGAACCTGTTTTCACAATCGTCTTATTTTATAAAGTGCGCCTGAAGTTTCTTATTTTCTTTTTCTGTAATATATAAATAATAGCTTATACAGTAATACTGTTTTCAATAACTTTTTTCTTAGCGTGTATTATATAAAGCGAACAAATCTTACAAGTACTTATGCATATACAGTTGGCGCTGTTTAGATAGATTCAATTTTTTTTTTTTTTTTTTATATTTAAATTTGTTGATACTACCAGCCACAGAGTTGATGTCCCCTATATGTGCGCGCGCAATGGTGATCAGGCAGGATTATCGGTAGATTGGAGTTATTAAGAAGGGGATCTCCAAAAACCTTCAATTACTTTAGGAAGGATCTTAGATGATTTAGTTAAGTGAGTGCATATAAATCTTAAATTTAAAGGCGTCTTTAATATAGAAGCATTACTAATTAATATTTAAAATAAACCATAAGTTTTTTAATGTAACTCACAACTGTGATGATTTTGCGAGCTTTTTTCAATTTTCAACTTTTGCATATATATATACATATATATATATATGGATGTATTTATATTTATATATGCATAATGCTCACTTGTAAATGTTATGTCTTGCTCTTTAATCCAGAAAATATTTTATTCTTCCTTTAAAGCAAATTTTGTGATTTGGCGGTTGATAAACCAACAGACAGACAAAAAGCTTTAAAAAGTAATAGCTTTTAGAAAACATCGATCTATGCAATGGAAATTAAGTCAAAGCGTTAATCAATTTCGTATACGAGAAAAGAATTTCTTCGCAAAAAAAGTACAAATTTATTATTTGTTTTCCTTTAGATGTATACCTCATATATTGAATAGTAGTTTTGCGTATGGAAAAGTAATTTTTTTAAGCATTTTTCTAATTATATAACACTCGTACACAATTACGTTAACCAGTTTAATAAGCAATTTTTCCTATCCGCCATAACTAAATATCTTTCAAAGACCCATAAAATCCAACATTCTCAATCGTTTCCTCGTCTCATTTAATCATTGTAAATATTCGTTAGCGAAATCTTTAAAACTGCAAAAGTTTAAGTAGTTTTTGGTCTTTATTTATTTTAGAAATAAGATCTGTAATCTGAAGTTAATTAAGCTATCATTTAATTTTTTTTATATTATCATTCTCGGTTGGCCGCAGAGCTGTTTTTTGTTTCTGAAAATTTCAAAATAAATTCAAAACTATTGATATTAAACTCTTGGTTCTTATCAGTATAAACCGTCTCGATATGTTATCGAAAAAGGTAATGTCGATTTAAATTAACCCACTATTCTTAAGCCTCTCTACTTTTAAGTCAAACATTGCTAGTCCCGGCATTATATTATTTAAAATTAATAAATTTTTCTTTTCCTCTTTCGAGCACTGTATACATCTTACTTCACATATTTCAAAACGAATTTTTATTGAGATCACTTTTTACGGCTTTTATGCAAATGAATTGAGAAATTAATGATAGGTGAAAAGAAATATTAGTCCAAAGTGTTACATATATGTATGGTCATCGTACTGTATACCTTTTTTCTTTTTTTATATGATCAATTGCTCAGGGTATGTCCTTTATTCGTGGAATACGATGACGGAAAGAGGCAGGCAAACGGCCGCAATCCATTTAAAAAAAAAAAAATATACGCCAAAAATTTCGAAGAAAAAATATAGAACCCAGTGGGTGTGTGGGCAATCGGCAAGTGTTCTGCTTTCACCGCAGTATGGAATATCTTTAAATCTTAAAGGGCGCATATTTTTTATACAGATTTTCTACTAATTTCTTCTAATTTAGATCTTAGGAAAAGCTCAATGGCTCAGTTAAAATTCCATGCATATTACTACAAGTTTTAACACAGACGAAGGACTTTTCCGAAAATGAGTCACATTCCAACGTTGCCAACAAAATATCCAATCCACTTAACCAGTTAACTGACTATGCCTGCCATGAAAAAACTCAAAAGTTCAGCAAGACTTAACGCAAATCTCATTTAATTGTATGTTTTCCTTATAAAACAGATAACAATTCTATTAATTAGAAAAAAATTTAGTTAAATTCTTTGATATAAAAATTATTCCCCGCAAAGTGTATAGTAAGGAAATTAGATTTTGATAAGCCAATGGATGTTTGGGGAAAGGCCATGGAAAAATTGCATCGTATGCATTTGCAAGACACTGCATGGAGAAGTATTTTGAGAAAAATTTGTCCATGAATTTTGTTATTTTTTGGTCAAAGCCATTAATTAGTCCCACTTACTAATGCTCATCCTATTTTAGATCTAAAATTTATTTCTTTGGTCTAACTAGTTATGTAATCATATTTATAACATTTTTTGGCAAATTTGTAAATTTTGAAAAATAATACCTTTCTCAGCGATGAATTTTTATAATTTTTTATTTAATAAAACTGAAATCTTTACTTTGATTTTCGCAGTGCGTATAGACGTCAACACTTGTTTTTAATTACCCACTACGTAAAGGATTTTTAAAACAAATTACGCAGTTGACTAGTTAAAGCGACGGGCTGTGTAAAATTCGTTAAATCCTACCAAAAAGGTTCATGAACAACAAATACATCGGATTAGAATTGCTATCATTAGTTTCAAGTCTGAGTCTGAATTCGCACGGCACAGCGATATGCTGCGTTATTGTGCTGTTTCGATATTCAAGTAAAACCTCTTTTTTTAACATAGACCAGTCATTCAAGGCATGTCCTATTTTCGTATAATGCGATGATGGTCGGAGAAAAGTCGGGGAAAGAGCCAAGCATGCACCCGCAACTTCCCACACTCTATAACTGCGACTAAACTGCGAAAATGTACCGTATTGAAATTTGAAACCTGCAAACACAAACTTAGTAGTCGCGTAAGTCGCGTAATTACGTATTCGGCAAACTCAGATGGAATGATTATGGAAGTATTTTAGAGTTACCTTCACATTTACGAATTTACAAGCAAAAGTGCATATCAAATGTGAAGCAGTTCTTATGGACAGAACTGTATCTCTATGTACACATATTAGCTAAACTTGAAACGGTTCAGATTTCTTTATATCTGATCACATTTAATACATTAAGAATGATTTATTAGACACAGCTGTGTTAATAAATATAATTAATTCTACGCTATTAAGAAAAAAAAAAAAACATCGCCCGTCCATCTACAAAATTATGGAATTATTTCTGTAGATGATTTACAACCATTTAAAACAGTCTGGTAAATGAAAAAGAAAAATGTTAGTTATGCCATTAAGACCAAGCCTTTTACGCGTAAATGCATATACAAAAGTTTATCTTACTTGCAATAGTGAAATTTTCCCCGGTACTTCAGTATCCAAAGTTGCCTCTTGACTCTGAGTAGATGACTTTAAAGTCGTCGTACGACTTATGATGCGTAGAGAATGTTGCAAATGATTTGGCGTATTCTCTGCCTTACCAAATAATATGGCCTGGAGAGGAGGAGAAATTAGCGATATTTTTTCCAATGAATAAAGTAACAAAAAATTCCTTACCTTAAACGCCTGACGAAATTTATTACTCATCAAGTTATATAATATCGGATTAATGCAAGTCGATAAAAAATATAAGACACCCGATATATATGTCAAAACAGTATAAATAAATAAATGTTGTTCCACCTCATGGCCGCTTTCACTATTTACTATATCCGATCCGTAGATAGCCATTAAACGTTGAGCATGAAATGGTGCCCAACATAAAAAGAAGCAAATGACTACAGCGACTAAATATGTATGTATGCATGTACGTATGTTTGCGTATGTTTATTGGTCAAAAAAGAAAAAAAGGAAAATAATAAATGAAATTTAGAAATATTTTCAACGGAAATAAATACAAAGATAATAAACTTCTAATTAGATATACATAGCGAAAAACCAATTTATATCATCAACAAAATGAATATTAAGTTGTCATCACATTTCGCTAATGATTTTCGCTCTTCGCTTTGTGTTGTGTCAAAACCTAAGAAAGTTGTGCTCGCTTCTTAACGAATTTTTAGCACCCATCATCTCGAAATAATCTATAATAATTGTCAAATATTTTCTTAATTGTCGAGGTTTCAGTTGACCAATGATAAAATTTTAAAGCAGGCATTTTAGTTTTTTTAACACTAAAACTAACGAATAAGTTACTTTGACCCACTTTAGATTTCGAAACTTAAGAAAGTGGTTATGAAGTCTGTAATTGTCCAAATTTTTTTTTGGGAAGACTTTTAATATATGAAAAGATTTTTAAATAGCTTCAATCAATTTTTTTCTCCCTGTTCTAGCTTTCGAAACGCAGATGGCATATACTTATTTCTACTAAAATGGTTTAATTTGAACCATAATTTCGGTCGAGCCGCAAAAATGAAAATAAGCCACTAAAATTTTGTCTAAACATCCTTTGATCCACTAAGAAACCACATATAAAAAATTGACTGAGACCAAATCGAAAAGAAGCGATAATTTTTTCCTATTTGGTCTAAAATTTTCTATCCTATAAAGACATTTCCAAGAAGCCTCTACCTAAATATTCATCATGACCACCTGCATTTTTCGCCAGAAAATGATAGTGATCTCTTTACAAACACGATCACAATCAGCGATAAAATTTTAATTCCAACTTATTTTCATTTTACTCTAATGCGACTTTTCGCGTCACACCAATGGCGATAGATAAAAATTGCTTATGTCGATTTTCAATTCAATATTTCTTACAGACCATAAGCAAAGTGTTTTAGCTTATTGTGGGCGTGTCAGGACAATTAATTTTAATCTTTGTTGGCACAGATCTTTTAGATGGGTTTAGAAATTACATACGTCAAGCTATCCGTTCAATATAGAGAACTTAAACAATATTTTTTATATATTATGGGCGTGCCGGACGGTCGTGTAAAACTTCTTTCCCGAAGACAGTTCAGATGGCTGACTGTATAAAGTTTTAATTCACAAGTTTTTTTATTTCATAAATAAAGTTACGCAAACCTTTCTCTCTCTCTCTCTCTCTCTCTTCTCTCTCTCTCTCTCTCCAGGAATCATTTATGTGAATTTTCCATCCAATATCTCTAATCCACTCTCTAAAATTTGTATTTTTGTAGAATCTATTACGGGCATGTTTTTAAGCTGATGCATCACTGAATTTTTGAATAATGCCAATACATGTCTGTCATAACCTAGAAGTTACCCTTCCTTGAATATATACGAATTTTCGTTCATTTTTAAGTATGATAAACAATAACGATGCAATAGCTTACGCTAATTGAAAATATATAATTTTATGTACTTTATGTTATTCTCAATCTGTGCTCCCTTGTGTGTAGTGTCACAAATGGAAGAACAAATCTAATACACCAGTACCAATCATTCGATAATAAATGTAAATACAATAATTAGCTTTTACTCTATATGATAAATACTTATAAATATTAGTAGTTATTGATAAAATAAGAAACGACGGCGTTTTGATGGGAGTGTATAAAAATTAACACTAATTGACCCTAATCTCAACGCTTCAACGCTTTGGTGCTAACACGATATTTTATGGGGAACATAAGTGGAATAAAGGGCAATTTATCAAAATTTTAAAAGGTATCTTCTTTAAATGTTTTATGTAACAAAACCCCAAGTGAGTTACTTATTTTGAACCAGATTAAGCCTGTGTACAACTTTGTGCCCGTCAAATAATAAAAGCTATCCCAACTACAAAGATGTTTTTTGTTTATCTTGTGAATCAATTTCTTGGAACGAACCACTAGAAAACCCTCACTAATAACGCGGATATACATATCCCGTTACAAATATCATGCTTTTCTGTAGGGTTTCTGGAATTCACAAAAACATTTACTAAATCTTCTAAAACTGACAGGAATTTCTCCTTGTTTCTCTGTCCGTCCATTTTTAGAGCTTCTATGATTAGATATATGATTGATATTGTTGAGACACATGTGTTGTTGACTAAATTGCTCAAAGTACACAACATATCAAAATTAATTTCAATATCAAAACAATCTCAAAAACATGTAGATATAATATTTTGTAATATCTAATCAGCCAATCAACTTTGACTTATTATGGATGACAATTACAAACAAATTTCATTCCAACATTTATTAAAATCCCAAATATATATACAGCGCCGAATAGACACAAGCGTGTGTAGTAGAGATCCAGCTCCAACTCTTAATAAAAATTCAAGAAACGAGCGAACCGAGCCTTTAGAAAACTAGTAATGTTTATATTCGTACATATTGTCTTATTCAGAATTATTGAAAGGAAATATTTCTCAATTCTGAAATTGGGTTCTTCTAGCAAAGAGCATAATCAAAAAAGAAGTCAAAAGCAATATCCTAAGAAAAAAAAAGCCCGCAATTTTGATATACTTTGTCAAGTTAATCCCTGAAACGATTTAATGTGTAAGTTGCTCTAATAGCAAGTTCCGGAAATGCCTATGAATTCACTTATATTACGTGTGATCGAATTTGACATTTCAATTTTTTACTATGGATAGGAATTTCAGTTCTACTTCGTAATTCGTAGAATTTTCCAACAACGTATACGGATAAAATTCTGTCAAAACTTTAGATATATATTTTGTAAAAATGGTACATTTAAGTCCAAGAAACATCACTAAAATCGTATATGTTTTGATGGAAAGACCGCCACTTAATCTTGCGAACGTTAGTACAATATTTTAACGTATCTCATGAAGCCGATCATTGACTTTAACGATTTTCTTTAGTTGTGTTTAGAAATTTGTGACAAAGAGAGGAAACTCTGCTACTACCGTACAACAAGCACCGTTTTGGCCAGATATGTTTTTTCGCGACTTTTTATTTTCCAAAAGTTGGAAAACGATTTGACTTAATTAAAGCCAATTAAGCAAATTCGAAGAAGGAAACCAAAAAAAAGAGTTTGTATGCGGTAACAGATTTTAGCGGACATAGATAGAGTGCTTTTAATTATTTGCAAGCATTTATATGATATAAATTCAAATGATTGCCTACACGTACTTAATTGATTTTTAACAAATCTTAGCACTTAGAATTATCTATATTTATATAAATGCATATACTAGGGCCCAAATTATACATAGAAATCTGGTACAAATAAATACGAAAGACAAGTCACTCAGCCAAAAGTAAACCGTTTTCATATATTCACCTCACATGGCGGACACGTCTTAAGCTAAATGCGATATTTTTCATATCGAAAGGGAAACGATACCAGAAAGTCTTTTTTTTATGCCAATCTATAACAATTTTATGTTCAAAACCAGAAACGACACAGTGATATCTAGAAAGCACTGCTTGGGTTAATGAAGATTGAAAAAACGAGTGACAGGAGGTTATATGAATTGTTTTGTTAAAGTTGGTTCGATTTTTTCCAGGTTATTTCTCTTGGGTAGGCATACATATATATATATATCTAAAGTACAAGTTTCTCTGTATCCGCTTAAGGCTTAATTTAACTTGAGTAATTTTTAGAATGCATTTAATCTGCATCATAAAAAATATTATTTTTCTTTTATAAACACATCAAGGAAAACAAAAGTGATTAAATTATACTAAAGTTAAAAGCATACTTTCGTATTCGTATTTCGTCTTCAGCTAATAATTGCAAAATTACATTCCGATATCATTTCACATAAATTTAGTGGATTATAGATGGACTTCTGTTAGCAAAGCATAACTTCGGAAATATAAGCAAAGATAGGGTTTACAAAATAAAAATAAAAGCCCTTACAACTGACACAACTCTTCGATGCTTTAAAACGTGGTTTGTTTTTTAACTGCATCGAACTTTCGGATAGATTGCACCATTGTCGATTGGCCTCTTTTCTGCGTTAAACTAGCGACTAATATATACGTCATGATCTGTCCATCTATTCTTATTGGATTTCCGCAACAAATTGTCATGCAGGTATTTTAAAAAATATGTTGATCATATTTTCAAATCATTTCGCTACAACTTAATTTTATATTACACATAGTCTATGTCTAACGAGCGTACGAGTATATCGCTAAAGAGTTCGACGTAGTCAACTGGTTAAAAACTGAGCTGACAACCAGCGAGACTTACTATAAGCATTGGATTAGTGCCACTTTATAATTTGAATAAGGCGAAGTAGCGAATATGGCATAATAGCGTTAAGAGAAGTAAAACAGGATTCTTACAAAATGTTATGAAACATTATACAAAAATACGTTGAAAACATTGTAGAGCAAGCGGTCGTTGTGGAAGTTATCAGAAGACTCGAAAGAACTAATACAGCTAAAGTAGTATCAATAGCATAGTCAGTGAAAATTTGATGTCAAAAAATCTATCTGAAGCATTAGAAGCAATAAGGTGGGG